CATAGCACAGCAGCTGCGAGCAGGAGCTGGCTATATCCTGGAAGACTTCAATGAAACCCAGGTAAGGACTCGCTTACTAATCTAGAATGATAGTCACAGAACAGTTGAGATTGGAAGGAATTTCTATAGCTCACCTTGTCCAGCCCCCCTGCTGAAAGCAGGATCAAATAGAGCAGATTGCTTAGGTCCTTGTCCACTTAGGTTTTGAGTATCCTCAAGGATGGAAACTCCACAGCCTCTCTGGGCAACTTGATCCCGTGTTTCACCACCCACAATTTAAAAGAAAAAAAAAATTAAATGGAATTTCCTGTATTTCAATTTGTACCTGTTGCTTCTTGTCCTTTTAGTGGATAACACTGAGAAGAGTCTGGCTCCATCTTTTGTACACCCCCCTATCAGTCATGAATATGCAGTGATAAGACCACCCAAGCCTTCCCTTCTTGAGCTTAAACAAGCTCAGCTCTCTCAGCCTCTTCTTGTATGTCAGACGCTCCAGTGCCTAGACATCTTGGTGGCCCGTGGCTGGGCCTGCTCCAGTATGTCTGGTGCTTTTGTTGTACTGCGGAACCTAGGAGAGGATGCAGCGCTCAGGTGTGCTCTCACCACAGGTCTGTGCCCCAGAACACGTAAGGGTGGAGCTCTTCACTTACCAGATCTACTTGGGCAACTAATTTCATTTAGTGTCACTTTTACTTCAGATTTTTAATAGAGAGGGTAAATTGTTCTTGGAGCATCTTGCCTGAGGATGCAGAGTCTTCTCTAGTGACTTACTGAGTCTCAGACTAAAAGATGAATCTTCTCCTTTGTCTGAACTGGAAGAGATAGTTATGATACAAAAACTACTAGGCAGAGTTTTTGCCTGTGAACTGCATAGCTTGGAAGAGGTGACTATTATAGGTGCTCCTGATCTCAGAATCTGTTTATCTAATTCACCTTTCACATAATATGGCTGTGAAAATCAGGGTTGCAGTTGTTTCCTTCTTTAAAGCGTTTAGCAGCAGGATAACTTCAGGGTTTTTTTGCAAGCACTGTCTCCCGTTTACATGTCTTTTTGTCTCCCCTGAAGTGTAATGCGGCATATCAGTGTCTTTTAATTGCGGACCAGCACTGTCGAACTCGGAAATACTTGCTGTGCCTTGCCAGAGGGATCCCTTGTGTGTCTCATATCTGGGTCCATGATAGCTGTCATGCTAACCAGCTTCAAAATTATCGGAATTACCTTTTGCCAGCTGGTTATAGCCTCCAGGAGCAAAAATTGCTAGAATGGTAAGTGCCAAATAACCATGATCTGAGTCCACAGGCCAAGGATTTAATCAGAGGGAATTGCTATGCTTGGGAGGCTCTTGAATACTGCAAATACTGAAGGTGTCCCTGGTACTGCTCCCCATGCTTTCCCTTCCATATCGGAACAGCACTTCCATCTCTTCCTTTGGATTTACAGTGACCTTTAGTGCCAAGGTATATTTGGGTGCCATATACACAAAAAAGTCTCCTGGGAAGTAAGAAAGATGTCAGTCTCCTCACGAGGAAGACTGAATTCAGGCAAGGCTTCCCACACACTTGGCTGACTTCTCTAATTGCTCAGAATTGGATAAAGGAGAGCAATACTACTGCAATTTCCTTTTCCTTTGGTACGTTTTGAAGCCAGCTTCTGCATTTTCTGTGGAGTTTAATCCAGTAGGTCTGTTGTGAGAGAACAATTGTCAGGTCAGACTCCTCAGGCAAGGTGAGGGGCAGACAAGAGCCGTTTGTAAATCTCTGTGGACTTCTGGGCAGGAGGCTGATGCCTGCCTGCTCAGCCCTGTCCGAGTGGAGGCACAGAAAAGGTGGCTCAGGATTAAGGAGGAGCTTAGCCTAACTTTGGCTTTAGGCTGCTGCACACACAGCCCACCAATGTTGTCTAGCTCTGGTTTACTATCTATAAGCAGAGGATAATTGTTCCAAGTATTTCAGGAGGGGTGGTAAGAGAGCAGGTCCTTGTACGCAAGATACTCAAAGAACCAATATGGGAGCCAATCGAGTGACTAGAAGTAGCTAATGGTCCTCAAATAAAGTCTCAGACTACTGGATATTCTTAGCAGTCTGCATTTCTCTTCTTTATTCTGCAGGCACCCTCGAGAGAACCCGTTCCATAACCTGAAGGTTCTCCTGGTGTCAGACCAGCAGCAAAACTTCCTGGATCTGTGGTCCGAAATCCTCATGACGGGGGGAGCAGCATCTGTTAAACAGCATTACTCAAATGCTCACAACAAAGGTACTCATTGGCCAGTTTCTCAGGCCTAGTAGTTGGGAATCCCAGGCCACTGTGGTCTCTAGGATGGTTTAAAAACATTTAGGATGGCTTACAAGGTTGTCTATAAGCATAAAGGAAGGCAGAGTGCAGACACTAGCTCTCGGCTTGAATGTAGTCTAGAAGATTACACCTGGGAGACCTGCCTTCCAGAGAAGGAGATGCTGCAGCAATTCAGGACGCAAGCCGTCAGCTTCCAGCCTACGTTGAAAGGGAGACATAGGCAAGAGTTGCTCCTGGACCTTCTGTAGGCCACTAAAACTGTGCTTCCTCGTCCTTCTGAACGCGGCTGTCTCTCCCTCTCCATATGGGATGTAGGCCCTGGTACTCGCAGCCTGAGGTCAGGACTCAGGTTATCTAGTCCTGCCTGTAATGTTGGCTACTGGTTTTCTGTTAATTTCTATCTGGACTAGAGGGAGGCTCTTGCTTGCAAGGTGCCGCGTTGCTGTAGAGGATCTTAACTTTACAATGAGAATTCACTGGCTAGGAAGGAGAGGGCATGGAAGGGAGATTCATAGTGGTGGAACACACTGATCTGCTGCTGCAGAGAAGATCCTTTTTGGTCTTTCACCTGACAGATGCCTGTCTTTCTTCCTGTGCAGATATTGCTTTGGGTGTTTATGACGTGGTGGTGACTGATTTTTCCTGCCCAGCTGGTGTCTTGAAGTGTGCAGAAGCTTTACGGCTGCCCGTTGTCTCGCAAGAGTGGGTGATCCAGAGCCTTATTGCTGGGGAGAGAGTAGGCTACAACAAGCATCCAAAGTATAAACATAACTATGTCCCCCACTAAACTAAAACTTTGCCCTGCTGTCCCACTGTTGTGCAGACTGTGTTTTAATCAGGTTTTAATGTTTGTGTAATTGGACAGTGTGCATGGATTACTGTAAATAGTTTTATCTGCTGGACTTTTATGATGAAATAAATGTTCAATCTCTTGTGGTAGCTGCTGGGACTCCTAATTTATCTGAAGCTATTCCTGGGCCATGCCTCCAGAGAAGGAGGGGAGAGAGAAAAGAAATGCTTACCTTTCCCTGAGCTGAGTAGCGCTAATCTACTTTCAGTAAAGGCTGACCTCAACACAAAGTCAATTATAAAGGAAGGAAAAGGTGTCCTCAACTGGCAGCCTGTAGTTACAGGAGTGAATACCCTATGACCGAGTTCAGGGCAGCAGCGGCAGCAGCGCTTCTCTCTGTTGGAAGAACAGCATGTTGTGTACCCCTCCAGCTTGCTGCTGTTATTTGCCAGGAATTTCACCGAGATGTTGCCGAAGTGACTGGTAAGAATTTCTAGGACAAAGCGCCCTTTTGTTTTGACTACCTTTCCTTTTTTCCCTGTGGTGACTGTATAGGTATTACCCTGCCTTAGTGCAGGCTTGGCACTACGTAAGTAGAGATATAGACACAGGGACCTAGAACAACTAAACTGCTAGGAGACTGAGCTGCGAAGAGTATGGAAGTGCTGTGTCTCTTGGTTTAAATGGTAATGGGGTAAATCATCTGCTCCCGAGCTGCTGCATTCACAGCCAGGCACTTTGTCTTAGTGGTCAGCTGGCACAAAGGCAAAAGCTGAGTTCGACAGCTCTTGGCTCTACCAATGCTTAGGCTAGAGGAGTACCCACACCTCCACCCGGCCGCATACACGGTCTCGAGTTTTTCTTGTTGCGTATATTTTCCCCATCTTTTCCTAGCTCAGCCACCTTCTGGCTGTGCTCATCTGTAAATCCCACAGCCAAACTTCCACCACCCTTTCTCCAGTTGTTTAGCTTTTTCAAGATCACAGGATTTTAAGCTTTGCATCAGGCACAGTCCTACCACAAACAGCTGTAGTGCACTGCAGATGCCAGGCCTTACACTTGCTGTCTGCTGTTACTGCGTCTTTCTGAGTGAGCAGAGAGGACTTCTTTCCCCCAAGGACACGTAACACTGAGAGCTGCAGCTTTGGGTATTGTGAAAACAGCAACCCTTTGAGGGGAAGGCTGGTTTCCCAGCAGCCTTTGTGTCAAACTGGGAAACCTGATACTACACCCCAGCGGCAGACTGGAGGGCTCTCTTCTGCCACTCGTCCAAAAGGACTTATGGCAAGATAGTCTGTTATCACAAGGCTAGGAAATCTTAGTAACGTGCAAGAAGTTCCTGCGAGATGCTGCTTTTCATTGAAATAGGATGCTGTGCCACTCTAGTGCCTTTGCACTTGGGTGCAGACATTGACAATATTCCACATAATTGCATGAGAAGATGGTTTTATTTTGGTTCAGTAGGATAGTCACTAGTAGCATTCTAAATAGTCTTGAATGAAAACAGTACATTTACAGCTGGCATCCCTGTGAAGTTCCCCCTTAGCTTTATTCTAGCACACTTCTCTGCCAGCAGAGGGAGCTTTGTACTTTGAACAGGGCAAAAAAGCTCCTACTTCTGTCTTGATGTGTGTAATTTTAGCATGCAAAATGTATTGTTTTATAGAGAAAGCATGTGACATCACTAGTGGCTCCTTTACGTATACAGATATGCTAGAATAGTGCACTGTATGAGACGAGATTCTGAACACCTGTTCCTTCTTCCCTCCCCCTGTACCTCAAACTGCTACTGCAGTTGTTTCGTTTACCTGGAGGTATGTATTTGATTAGCAGACGTTGTGTACTGTCAATCGGTTTACTGCACAAGTGGAACTTCCGAATACAGCCAAAACTTCATTCATAGTCAAGAACAACCGACTACTTCCTCCGTATTCCAGCTTGCGAAGGATCGTAGTCCAGCTGCAGAGTCAAGACATCATAATTCTTGTTGCTTTTTCACTTTCTGAAGAGGCACAGACCGCCTCCCTAGAAGCGTTTATAGGTATGTGCAGGGCTGCAGAAAGCATGCTTTTACTAGTTAAAAAAAAAAATAGAGTAGCCTTCTGCAGTCGCTGGGCAGCCTCACATAAGTGGCACCTCCTGCCCATTCCTTCTGAAACAGTGGTTCACCAGGCAAGAGCCAGCTACAAAGAAAAATTCACTGGAGCGCAAACTTTCCGAGAGTACCAGTCTCCACTGCTTGACGCGTTGCTGGTTGCAGCCTGAAGAAAAGGTCTTGGTGCTTAAACCCCAAAACTGCAAGAGAAGGGTACAATATCTCTGTATGTTGAAAGGAACTCCCTTTATCAACCCACATCAGCATTTTTCAGCCAATATGAGCTAACAGCTAGTTCGAGTTCATGCCTAATACAAACTTGAAGGGGAGAAAGCATAGGAAAACCAAAAATTAACTCATGCTGGTTTGTTACTTTTCTGTCATAGTATTTAGTAACACTTGCTTCTAATTATTTTGGCTTACACAAACAATAAAAATGACTTAAAATCACTTAAATCACTTTGTACTTCAAGTACCTCAGGATCATGCTACAAGCAACCCTGAAGATATTCCTACCTGCCCAAAGTTCCTCCAGCCTGGGTGTAGTATTTGTTATAATCCAAGCGTAGCAGCAGTTGAGCCAAGTCAGAGTTTATCTGATGGTTGCGAACACTAGAGAGAATCTTGAAGAGAAGCGATGACTGACGACTGAATCCCTACAAAACAGAAGTCGTCAGTTCTGGGCACTCTCAAGAGAGAAAGCAAGCAAGCCTTTCATCTCTGTTCCTGCCTAAGCAATCCTTTAACAGCCTGAAGAAAAAAAATCCCTGCAAGAGAAGTGATGCTTGTGCTCCAGTCTAAGGTAAGCTGTCAGCCTCAAGGATTATTGGGTGTTAGGTATCCAAAAGGAGGGGTAGAGGCACAGGCTGGCAACCACCTCCTTTCTGTTCCAGTAGGGTAATTTCTGCATATATGCCCATGTTCCTCCTCTCTCTGCACACAGAATTTTCGACTCGGGAACAGTTGATTAATTAAAATCATAGAATCATAGAATTGTTAACGGTTGGACTCGATGATCTTAAGGGTCTTTTCCAACCTTACCACTGCAAGCACTCATACCTAAGGTCTTCGCTTAAACTCACGCCTGCTCTACAGCTGCTAAAGCCAAGATGACTGCTTAGACAAATGTTTGCATGGGAGAAAAACAGGTCCGTATAAACATAAATTCACCTTCACCAAAATACTGAGTTGTGCAGCTCCCCGTTCATCCAATGGGCCCAGATTCTGACTGACCAGAGAACAAAAACTATGACAAAGATCCAGAATTTCATTTAAGCAGTGGAAAACCTGCATGAGATAAAAAGTACAAGATAGTAGTTTAAGCAGAGTTCAAACCCCGAGAAAGCTGTTCTTAGCACCTGCATAGTTGCAGCATTCATAATCGAGATGTTGCTGATACCATGTTTTTCAATCAGTAAGGAAGATGTTAAAGCACCTGTAGCATTTTTGTAAAGTTTTCTACGGAAAAAGGACTTAAATGTTATGCTGTGTTTTTCCCCCCCCAACCTTTTACAGACATTAGTGGGGAAACAGCGATTGGCGTGAGCCATCCACACAGGCACAGGAGTTGAACGTTGGCTTCCCTATCCAACCAGCAGGCCATCATTGCAGCTTCGGGACTGAGAAGGACGAATAAAGAACAGCACGAGCTGTGGTTCAAGGCCTTGGTCTCACCGTTCGCAGAACTTGGAATTTCTTTTGTATCGGTTGGTCCAGGTAACTTGCATTCAAGAGTGCTAAGAAAGCCCAAATGCCTCGCAGACATAACACTGGAACACGTAAAAGTTCCAGACGGGATAATGAGTATTCTGCCACCCTTATGCTCTAGCCTCAAGGACTGAGCAAAATAATGAAAGAGACAAGACCTGCAGTAGCACCGTGTTTCATTGATACCAGCCTTCTCTGGGAATGTTTTTGTGAGGCTACATGTTTAAGAAAAATACCGGCAACACTGTAACATTTTTTTACTAAAACAATAACAAAACCCACCCTTAAAGTCCACTCAGGAACATCTCAACTATTTTTATCCTCTAAGGTATATGTAAGAGAGGGAATTTTTCCTAATCTAATGCATTTCAGAATGAGTCCCTCAGGACTACAGTTCCCAGCACTATGCTAATTAGTACTTTGATAAAATTGCCTGTGAGAAAATTAGAGTGACAAAATTTAAGTTAATAAGGTTAACTGAACGCTGGAATAATCTTGATTTAAAATTGCCAGGAATGCAGCATCCACACTCACCAACTGTAAATTAAGTGATCTTAATTCAATTATCTGTTCTAGTTTATACCTGCTTTATTCCCAGAATTGTAGCCTGTGCTCTGCAGGAGATTATCGCTGATCAGTTTTAAAAGAGATGGCTTGTCACACCTGTTCAGAAAGGTGTGTTTCTTAGGGCAGTTGGAGGATTTGTAGAAAAACATGAAAACAAGACCTACTTACAGGTTTTAGGAGGATGAAAGACTGCGCCAACAGATTACTTAAGAAATGATCATGAGCCAACCGTATACTCTCAAAATCTCGTGTGGCATTTATCTGCTGCAGAAGCTGTGAGAACTGAGATTCCAGTACATCCACCTGATGGATATGTAAAGAAATCTCATTAGTATCTTGAGGAATAGGAGTACTTCAGACCAGCCAGAAGTTTCGTGTAAGAAACTTACTTTCCTCATTGCTACTCTTACCTTAGAGGCCGAGGATCACCTTCTCTCTGCCTCCTGAATAGGGAATTATATACAACAGTAGTAATTTTTGATGCCTAAGTATTATCTAAGTAAGTAGAAAGGGAAATGGTCACTTTAAGATTAACTATTGAAAAAGTATATGGCTAGCATGTAAACAGAGGTATTTGACTGTAGTCATCCCTGAATTTTACACTGGGAGATACTGTCTGGAATCTCAGGGCAAAGGCCGCAGTGCAAAAACTCAGCCAGATTACTCTGGAGAATCTAGAAAGCCAGGCCCCCTCAATTCAGCTACTACGGCTGTTAACAAAATGATGTGTAATTCTCACAAAATCTGCTACTAGTAACTGGTGTTTACATTTGAAAAGTCTCTTTTTTACTTCAAATGGTCGGAATATGGCTTCTTTCAATTTTTAAGAAAAAAACCCCAAAATAACAAAAAAACCAAACCACCAACTTGTCACTTAACTCAAACTGGAGTTCACTTAAAGGGTCAAGGGAAGAAGCCAGAGTGGTATCTTAATGATGCTACTTTCAGGGATGACTGTGGCTTCTCACAAATGCTGAGTAGCACCAGAGCGCCAAAACTCCTGCATTTGCACAAGTCCAAAAACTTTGTAATTGTAGCACTAAGTCTGGGAACTCAGAGAAAGTTCTAGACTTGTTCCAAAGGAAGCCCTGATTTCCTTAAGGTACAAAGAATCTGAACCCTGAAAGACAGGACTTCAGTGCTCCCTCCAGTTCCCGATTAACCGATACAGTTTACCTTTCTCTATAATCCTGACCTGCAGGTAATACTGAAGATTGTCCACAAGGAAAGCCATGTGATCCCTCAGACGCCACTTGATGGCATCGGTTCTGTTAGATTTCAGGTGTTTGCGTTGCATCTGGAGAGCCCAGCAGTGCTGTAGCTCAGCCTGGACTCGTCGCACACTCAGCAGGTATTTGAACACAACATTGTACCTACAGTCAAAAAATACAAAATCGTTTAAGATGAAAATCTTCCTTGGGTGTAGGAACTGGAGAACATAACAATGCAAGACTGGAAAAAGAAACAGGAGGCGGCTGCCTGCCAACAGGCAGGGCAGGTCAGGTGATGGCCCATCTCAGAGTAACAGATTTCTGCTTGTGTTGGTTACTGACCTAAAACAATACCGTTAATTTTGCCGTAAGGAGGGAAGAGCTGACAATGTTTTATCAAAGTAGCACTGTTTGTAAAATAGTGCAGATCTGTCAGCAGCTTCCAGGTCTCACTGTCATTACAAGTACCCTCAATATGAATAAGTGGAAGGAGTTCAAGGAGCAAGCTAAAGTATTATAGCTCTACCCTTCTCTCCATAGAGAGGAAAAAAACCTCAACATATTAGTGAGTGCCTGAGATCAGGGAACCTATAGATGAATATACAAACACCATACCTAGTACTTACTTCTCCAGAACAGCAGGAGTAAAGAGAATGTGCAGTGGCCATTGAACTTTGTAAGAAAGGCCCAGAGCTGCCCATCCAGATGCGGGGGCTTCGCGTGGCGATAACTCCCGGGAAGGCCCTTCACGAGTCTGAGAAGTATCTGCAAACAAATGAGGTGCTGAATTCAGTCGTCTTCTCAGTCAAGACAACCATGGCAAGGAAGAAAAGGGGAAAGAACAGAAGAGCCAAAGCAGGCTAGGCCATCACATAGGGCTGCAAAGGGAACAAAGCTAATACTTCCTTAACTTCAGAGAAGGGTAAGTAATAGGACTTGAAAACAAGGTCATCATCTCCCCTCTCAACTCACTACTAAAAATGTAAGTAGATACCTTTATGCTCCTTTCCGTGATACTCAATGGTTAAGTGAAGCAGAGGAAGAAGGTTGTCATCATCTAACAGTACCTTATGAGCAGATTGCTGAAATGCAACGTTGACATCTGACAAGAAAGCACAGATATCAACACAAGATGATGCAGCTAATGCTAATTTTGCACCCGTTAATTATTTATGCTCAGCCATAACAGACAACACTGACACGCTATTTCCACTATTTTCATTTAATTCCAGTTTCAAAGATGGAAAGTTTCTGAGATGTAATTTTCACCCACTCTGTGAGACATTCTAATTCATAAGTGCTGTTCTTTTTTAAAACTAACTACAACTTCTAGAGGATAAGATACAGCTCTTCTGCACTGGACATGGCTAACCATCTTCCTGCTATGCCACAGTGAGGACAGTTGGGTAAGTGAATAAGCAACACTCACCATGTTCAGTTACAGCCGTAGGCGGTGTTTTTAACATGTGCTGTGCAGTGTCAATGAAGGCCTGAAAGAGCTCCCCTCTTCCCAAAAGGTAAAAGTCTTTTATAATCTGTGGAGATATATTTTTTTGTATTTAAGCATATCAAAGCCTGAGCAGAAATTTTAAGCATCCTAGCTGATAGCATCCATTTTAATTATCGCTTGGACGACAACTGCCATTTCAAAATACAGCTGGAGTGCTATGAATTTCACCCAGTGCCCAAAAAGTGTAGACTGCCTTTGCTTCAAGATGGAAACCACAAAACCACATACACATACCCCTCTAAATCTCTCTGACCAAGTTCTATCACTGTGTGCTCATTCTTGAGACCTGGAAAATGAAGACAGCTTTATCTAAAAGAAGAAAGTGCATAATCTAAGACAGTAAAGTATTTAATGAGAAAGAGCCATTAAAAAAGAAAGAAAAAAAAACTAAGCTGCTTTAGCAAAAACAAGCTAGCAGTTACACTACCTTCAGTTGTCCTAGTAAATCTGATTCCTCCACCATCAGTTTCCAAAGATGCTAGTGAGGAAACAAAAAACAAACAAAACAAAAGAAACCTCCCCTCAGATTTATCTAAACGCATTCAGTGAGAACAGTAGCTGTCTTAAAATACTTGCGATGCATACAAAAAAGCATCTATATAAAATGCTATATAAAGCACAAGAGAACACACTAAGAGTCCTGTGTGTAGGCAGCCCCTGCTACTAATTAGAACGCTCTTGATTTATACCAGCAAGAAACTCTGCCCAAGAAACACGAAGACCCATGACAAAAAATAAGCAAATTCCTATGAAATCAGTTCCTCCCCAGTTTTGTCCTCACTTCTTTAACCTCCCCATCTTCTCAGGCTTCCCCCCCCACCCCAAATTAAAAAAAGATTAAAAATTGCCAAAGCACAGAATTTGCCCAGTGAGATGCCATCTATTATGCTGAAAGCATGATGAAACGTTCTGAAGTCATGTAAGTGAAATAAAAAAAAAATATATCTAAAAATTCCCTTCTTTCCCCCATGAAAGTGAACAGTATTTGTTAACGTCCTTTCGTCATTAGAAGTTGGGGTAACGTGAAGCTCCGAGCCCCTTAAGAACATGGAAGCTACCTGCAGCGTTCACACACTTGTTCCATCACTGATTCTAAAGAGTCCCCTTCTTCTCCCACTCATTCAGAAAACTAAGAGCTCCTCAGCCCGTTAGTTATCCTTCCTAGGATCCTCACCTCAGCCACAGTGCTCCGTATCCAGTCAACCACTGATTCAAAGTCCACCACACTAAAGAGCGG